GTGCCTTCACTTCTCGCTGCCCCTCACTGTGGGTGCGATGTAATTTGTCTGCATTCCTGTGACCCTGCTCCTTACTGTGCATGTGATAAGACGAGTTGTTTGAAGTTCTTGCCTTGATTCCTCCACAGTGATCTAGCGAAACCTGGAACTGTAAGACGAAATAACTCTCCCTCTCTCCCAAGTTGATTTTTGTCAGGGTATTTTTATTCCAGCAACAGAAAGAAACTAGAATGTTTTTGTTTTTTGGTTTTTTTTTGGTTTTTGTTTTTTGTTTTTAGGGTGTCAAACAACTGGAAAATTCGGTGGCATTAACTAAGGTAAAAGATCAGAGTTCACTGAATTACAAATATCGTGAACAAGCTGAGCTTCCAATTATTTTTGAGACATTTAAGCAAATGTGTCAAGAAGGCAGGAGAGAGGAGCATGTAGCTTTGAGTTTTAGGACATCAACACATAACGATATGATACAGGATCATGAAGAAGAGAAGGTGGCTAAAGGGGGATGGTTTAATTTTTTTTTTTTTAATCCAGAAACGTGTGCTGAGGGGCTTGGTATGGTCATGAAGCAGCAATGCAGCTGTGCAGGAGGAAGGGCAGGTCTTTGCAGGACCTGCTAGATGAGCTCCGCCTTATCACCAAGGCTATCGGTGACCTTAGGGAGAGCTGTTCCTACGAGCTGAAGATAATGGAAACCAGCAAGATGCAGATGAAATCCCTTGGCAGGATAAAAAGAGCAAGAATGCCAACTGAATAGATTTGGAGAATCTGTTCAGAAAATGTCAAAGACAATGTTTTTAAGATGAAGGATCTGAATAAAGAGAAAGCAGTGAAGCTTGAGCCTGCAGGGCAGGAGGACAGACAGGTGAATGCAATAAAGAATACCTCACAAAGCTAAGTATTTTATTAGGTCTTGATAAAAATGGAAGAAAAACATTTGTGCCGATGGCATCAGATAAAGCCTCAGAGAATATAAACCTGTTGACATATTTTGATAACTCAAAAGATTGGGCTGGTTATCTGTGTTTCATGATAACATTTACAAGCCCGAGAGCATCACACTGACCAAGAGAAAACTCAGACACGAGTTCAAAAGGTAAATGGAATTTGTTTAAGCAAACTTTGCATACTGGGTCCTTCTGTCAAAAGTTAAGTTTGTCTCCCAACATTCATCCCAAATGATGTTTTGTTTTTGTCCTCTATTTCGTTTAATCATCTTATCTGGACCCTCCATCTCATGACTACTGAATGCGGATCAGAAAATTATCGTTTTTCTTAGGAAATTATACCTTATTTAATTTAGTCTGGGAGATTTTAGTTTAGAAATTATTGAAACTAAAGCAAAGTCATGAGCAACAGCTACATGATTCGAACAATTAATTTATCACAATTCATTTTCAGGTGTGAGACTGTTCTTTTCAATAGTAAGAGTGAAGCCAGACAAAATGAAATCTTTTACCCAAATTCTATTCTTGAGCCTTAAAGATTACAAAGTATTTCAGGGTATTGTTTCAAAAATTAAAACTTGTCTTTGTGCCATTCACATTTTCGTCTGTAAAAGACATTTGCTTTATTGTTTACAAATTTGTTCATCATTGGTTTTCAGGGCTTTGCATAAGCCCAGGAAAAGAGTCCAGAGTTAGCAATGGGGAATGTTTAAGTTACAGGGTTGTGATAAACTCAGAACATATGAGAGGTTTTAGGTTGGTTATGTTGTTGTCGTTATTGTTTGTTGCTTTGTTTTTGCTTTGCTTTTTTCCAGACATGTGAGTTTTTAATTTAGCTATAAATGTGATTGTTTTAGTAGTTTGCTTTGTTTGATTCAGGGTCCTGGCTGGCCCTGGCTAGCCTGGAGCTCTCTATGTAGACCAGCATGGCCTTAAACTCAGAGATTCACCTGCTTCTGCCTCCCAAGTGCTGGGATTAAAGGTGTGCGCCACCACACCTGAATGAAATGTGACTTTTTTTTTCCAACTTTATTTTAAATGCCCTTTCAGACTGGTATATGATTGTTTAAAGTGCAGCTGACCTTGCTAGCTTTCTTTACATAACTATGTAGATAAAGACACAGTTCTAGACATAAATATAAAAGTTAGGAAGCACATACAGATTTACAGTCTCAGGTATTAGCATGTGTAAAGATAAATGATAGACAATAAAAATATGAAATCATGACCCTCATTAGTAAAACAGGTTGAGACCCTTTGCTTCAGTTTATGCTGTACTGACACAAGCTTTCAATCCAGACACAACTCATTTTGATTTCTTGACTAGCACGTGAAGGAGAGAACAAACAAGAAAGGGAATGATCCATGATGTTAAAGGCTGTAGAGGGCTTAGGAAAACCGTGTTTGGAAAGAGGCTGTCTCTCGGGATGGTGGTGAAGTCTGGCGGATGTTTAAGCACATAACCCAGAGAGGGGGTCAAAGATAAAACATTTCAGGGACAGACAGCATAGTGAAAGTGCGCCTGCGCAATGAACAGAAAATACAGTGGCAGTGGCGGTAAGCAGGGACAGTTCTCTGAGAGAACGCGGGAGGCAGGAGACAGGAGATGGGATCCCAGTGTACTGGCAAAGGATAAAGAGAAATAACTTTGGCATTGTGCTCCTAACCAGGGTTAAACATCACAGTCCCTCAGTTTTATCTCTCTGTGACCGACTTCCATGGACTTTGATTCCTCTGGGGTCAGAGATCTGTTTGGGCAGCATTCACTCCCTTCATCATTAGCAATCACTCCGATTTTTTCAGCATCTACTACAAAGTCTACTTATCAACGCTGGGAAGGCACTTGCATTAAAGACATTAAAGGAAAACACATTCGGAAGCAAAGCTCTTTAGACTCAAGCCCTTGTATGCCGCCTCCTCTGAAAGCCTGGTGTGGCCCTATCATCTGGCAGCAGCGAGAAGCCTTTCAGTTTGGGCATTGTATAAATACACTATGATCCTAAAATAGGAGCAGAGAGCTACACTGATCAATGAAACTCACAATCTCCTTAGTTCTAGTGCTATGGATCTGAGCCAGACTTTTTCTTACGGAGCACTGTCCTTCACTTCATCTTCCTTGTGAAAACACATCCAGCAAGTTGCTGGATTGCTATGGCTGATAACCAGGGCTACCAGCTCTGAGCAAACCCACACCCAGAAGTACAGCAGGCCTTGGATGCATGAGATTTTGACTCACAACCAAGCCTCGAACATTTTTACAAAGTTATACAATCGCTTGCCCGTTGTAACGATAACTTAGATTAATACCAGAAGCAAGAAGGACGGATCAAAATAAAAAGGTATTTTGGAACTATCTAAAAAATACTTCTAGCAAAAATACCATTTGTTGCCTATCAGAGAAAAGTCTAATGAACCTCTGGATACTTGGGGATGGGGGTGGGTGGGCAGAGACTCTAACCAACAGAAAGAAATGTGGATATCTGTAGAGAAATTATCTGGTGACACCTGAAAAGAAGGATGCTTTAAACTAGAACTATAATCATACTTGGCAGTTCAGATAACAGGAAGTCACCCACAGATGTATATGTTTAAGAATAAAATATCTTAAAAGAAAGTGGATGTAATTCCAAATTATGACTGCTTAATGTGTTCTATAGCTTTATTAGCATGTCATATCTATAGATAAATATATAGAAAGATGCAGAGAAAGGTGTGGAAAAGTAACTCAATTTCTTTGACCAACTAAAGGTTTAAGGTTTGTAGCTTTACAGGTCCAACTTAAATTACATTAAAGGACATTTATTTCCACACGTTTCCATCATTTGGAAATAAAGGAGACACTGGAAATCAGTGTGACAGATGGACATTTAGAAAACATGCCAATATTATCTTACACACACACAGTTTCTCAGTTGCAAGCAGAGCAATATCTTGTTGAAACACAGAAATATTTTGGTGAAGACATTTTAGCTTCTGACATGGAAAATTTTTGGATATCTGAATGTAAATCTAACCTTGGTCAGAGGTCTCTCCTCCCTGCCATGTTAGTGGTGACATACACCACAGGAACTCAACACTTGTTGAAGACATTTCTTTAACAACCAAGACGTAGGCTCTGTGTTTTGCTCACAGAGAGAGCACAACAGTCCAGAATGAGATTTGACAATGGTTCATCTATTAAATAGTTATTGGATTGTTGGTGTGCCCTGAATGGTAGAATAAGGTATCCTTCACAGGCTCTACAATTTTCTCAAAAACAACAAGTAAATAGAAAACACTCTTTGTCGTTTCATGTTTATCACTTCACGTTTACAAGGAACTGGTCCCTCATATCCCCACTGGTCACCTGGGCTTGAAGCAGACAGACCCACAATGGAGCCCCTGCCTGAAAAATGGCTCAGTTCTCTCCTGGCACTGTTAAGAGTTGAATTGTCGCTCTTGAAATTCCCATGTGGAAATCCTGACTGGTTCTGCCTGGGAATGTGGATTTGGGGGGAAGCAGAGTCTTTTCAGGTATTGTAAGTTAGTGTGAGGTCAGACTGGAATAAGATGGAGTCCCGATCCAACAGGTCCGGTGTTCTTAAAAGCACAAGGAATTTGTACTCAGCTAGAGGCACAGGAAGGACGCCATGTGGAGATGACAGTTGACACGGAAAGTCGGCCTGTTCAGACTAGGGAATGCCAGCGATTGCCAGGAAGCTCACAGATACTTAGGAGAGAGGGATTCTCTCACAGCCCTCGGGAGGAGCCAATCCTGCTCATATCTTGATCTTTCACACAACAAGGCAATAAATTTTATTCCACCACAGTTGTGGCACTTTGTCATGGAAAACATTGCACACTAACATGCTCTCCCACTCGCTTCTCACAGCTCAACAGACTCCTCACCAAGGGCGCTGACAAGCCTGACCCCACTCCCACCGGGCACCGTCTTCTTCAGGGTTCACAAAATTACCATCAATTTATTCAAAAAAATCATCCACAATTATACGCTGTCAGTGACTAATATCATCTTCCACCAGTGGCCTAGCAATTACACCTGACACCCTCCCTTACCTTCTGCTGGCTCCTGCGCTCGGAGAGGCACTGTGACCAGGAGGGGGGGGTGGGAACCAGGACTGCCTGTTAAGAAATGACATCAGTCAGAACCATGGTGCTCGAATGCCTGATCCCACCCCATGTCTGGGGACTGGAGGGCAGCTGATTGCTAAAAAAAGAAAAAAAAAAAAAGGCAGCGAGATAATTTTTGCAGAAACCCTTGAAAATATAATGAACACCATTTCATAAACAGAGTAGAAAGGATCCTATGTTTCAGGCTATGTCCTCCCCACCTGAGACTGATCTGCCTTTTTTTTTTTTTCATTTCCTTTGACACTAAACAGTGTGAACATTTTCTTTAAAAGTAAAAAAAAAAAAAAAAAAAAAAACTGAACAAATAGCAACTCTAAAGTCTAGTCTACAGGTTTGTGTATATTCATACTCTTCCTCTTTTTCCACCTTCCTGATCTAGTTCACAATGGAAATAACAACTTTATGCTGTAGTTAAAACATGATTTCTACACTGTATGATAGAACGCTCTGACAAAGATATTAAAACAGAAGTCAATACCACAGCAATTGCTAACCTCAGCTTTAACTTCTGCTAGAAGGACGCCGTTATGGTGCAGGGATATGATTTGATATCCGCTGTAGCTGAGGGCTCTGCTGAGAAGACTAAGACCAAGAAAATGAAAAGAAAAATGGAGAGAGTGGCGTGGGCTACAGAACGGAATAGGAAGCTAGAGAGGCCAAGAGCACTGGCCAACGTTCCCAAAGCTGGCTTCATTTGCTTGGTACCAGCATCTCCAGTTGGCATAACTGCTATCTAGCCATAACTTTATGGCAAACAACAACAACAACAAAATCCGGTTATGTTAAATACAAAATTTTCTTTATCCATACCTCCACTGTTGGATACCCAGATTGGTTTTCCATAGCTCAGTTCTTGTGGGCAGTTCTGGAGTAGAGACTGGTATGTTTGATTGTGTTTATTTTTATTTAAAAAAAATTCACACAGCTATGCACTGTCCATTGAGAATATTTCTCCCTGTACCTCACTTCCCTCCTCTATTATCCCACTCTCCCCCATTTATCTTTAAGATCCTGGCTTACCGTCCTTTGGGTAAGTACTTAAGAATATACTGGGTCACTTCATAGATTTATTTTAAGTTTCATGGGTGACATAAAACCACACACACATACGCACACTCATATATATGTAATGAATATAGACTTGAATTGTCTAAACTTTAGACTCTAAAGAAACAAAGGAAACAAAACAAAGTCCCCAAAAGGGGCCTTTACTCTGCTTTAAATAAAATTAACCTAACGTACAGGGAAAGGCTGTGGGTGCATGGTGTGGTAATTCACCACTCGTGATAGCAAGTTAAGCCCATCTCTGCCACACAACTCCACGGAAAGTTACTTGAAGCAGCAAAGCTCTTAACACCTAAGCTCACCATCACCATCCCCTAGAGAAGCTTGGAGTATAGCTCAGTTGTGGAGCGCTCTCTTAGAATAGTCAAGCTCGTTTTCTCCAGTAACGGGACAGGAGCCTACCACAGAGGGCCTCTGAAAGACTACCTAGCAGTGTATCAAAGCAGATGCTGAGACTCATAACCAAACCTTTGGCAGAGTGCAGAGAATCATATGAAAGAAGGGGGAGATAGTATGACCTGGAGAGGACAGGAGCTCCACAAGGACCAAACATATCAGGGCACCGGGGTCTTTTATGAGATTGTTTCTCCAACCAAGGACCATTCATGGGTATAACCTAGAACACCTGCTCGGAGGCAGCCCATGATAGCTCAGTATCCAAGTGAGTTCCCTAGTAAGGGGAACAGAGACTATTTCTGACATGAACTCAATGGCTGGCTCTTTGACCTCCCCCCCCATGAGGGAGGAGTAGCCTTGCTAGGCCACAGAGGAGGACAATGCACACAGTCCTGAAGAGACTTGATAAACCAGGGTCAGATGGAAGGGGAGGAGGTCCTCCCCAATTAGTGGACTTGGAAAGGGGCTGGGAGGAGATAAAGGAAGAAGGGTGGGATTGGGAGGGAAGGAGGGAGGGGGCTACAGCTGGGATACAAAGTAAATAACCTGGTTAATATTTAAAAAAAAGTTATTAAAAAAAAAAAGAATACGCAAGCTGGCTTCAGTCCCAACTGCTACAGAGACCGAAGGCAGCAGACGCATCAAATCATGACTTAGAGCTTCAGAGCTCTAAGGATACTGTGGTATTTGAAACGAAGATGGAGGGAGGACAGTTCTGGATACTTTTGCAGGGGGGTGTAAGGGGCAGACACAGGGTCCCCTCTTACCTCTTTTTCTTCACAGGGGTGGTAGCAGGCGTGGAAGCTGTGGTGGTCGTGTTTGCATTAAAGGAGCTGCCATCTGGCCTGTTTAGTGAGCAGGGCAACAGGTTATCACCGTCCACCAGCTTCTACACACACGCGCGCAGACACACACGCACACACACACGCACACGCACATACACACACGCCTTTGAAATATTTTATAGTCTACTCCTATCCCAGTCTACCGTTCATCTTCAATAAAATATTTCACTTGAGGATTGGAATGCAGTAAGAAAAAAGTTTTTCCTTAGTTTCCTGTACACCAGCTAGTTAAAAGATAAAGTAACTGGCTGAAGGAGTCATTAACAGGGTGTTAACCATGTGATGTGTGATGGCTCTGTAGTCTCTTAATCGTAGTTTTATGCTGTGTTGACAGAACCATGCTGGGTTTTTCTTTTTTTGCATTAGAAATCTGATCTTTAAAAACCTGAAAGGCACATCTTTGTAATCTCTTCTTGGCATTTATTAATATAATCAGATCCTCAAAAATGGCAATGACCCGGGTCTGTTTTACACCTTAAGCCTGAGATCCAGCATACAAAGTATTTTATCCATAAATACGGTTTTTACGGTAATTTTAAAGCTGGTGTAATTTGTGTTGCTTATAAATACTAGGAGTACATGCCGGGGAAAGCCTGATAGTTTCATGGTTTCACGATTCAGCACTGAGGAAAGAGGCGCTGCGGTGAGGGGTGTTAGGCCGGAAGGTGAGACAAGAGTGGGAGAGAGTTGGTCGCCTGAGAAACGGGAGAGACGCAGAGTCCATCCTTTTTCTTTGTTTTGTTTGCGTGTGCGTGGCTGATTTGCCTGCAGGCATTTCCGTGCAGGGCCGGAAGAGGGCCTCGGATCCTCCAGGACTGGAATTACAGGGTGTTGTGAGCTGCCTTGTGGGTGCTCGGAATGGAATCTGGACCTTCCGAAAGACCAGCTGGGCCCTCGACCACTAAGCCACCCCTCTAGCCCCGAGTCCTTTTAAAATATAAGACAAAGGGCGTTGGTTTAAGCGTCAGTGATTGGGTGGAATAATGACAGGTAAGCTTTTTTAGTGCGAGTCCCGCCAAAAAGTGCTTGAGCCCTTGAGGCCCATTTTGATTCTTCTCTGCTACTAACTCTGCCAATGCCGCAGGGCCGTGCTGTATTCCACTGACACTTAGGCCTGAAGGTTGTAAGCTCAGTTGTTTTCAAAAGCACACAAGGGGAACACAGCTCGGTTAGGAGAATACTTACGTCTTCGTTTTTTCCGGTGTCCTGAATGTGGTCAGTGTTCTGGAAGAAGAAGGAAACAATGGCGCAGTTTGAGCAACAGTGGAACCCCAGTTCATTCTTTCTTTGTGCTTGTCCATGAATTTAAACTCACCAGGAAAAGCTAGAGGTTACTTGAGAGGATGAAAAAGCCTAACTAGTTGAATAAATCTGGTGAGATGCTTTCATGAGGCTTAAAATCTCCTGTATTAGGTCCCAAGGTACTTTATTTATTTATTTATTTATTCATTTATTTATTTATTTATTTATTTATTTATCTATCTATCTATTTATTTATTTATTTATCTATCTATTTATTTATTTATTTGTCTATTTATCTATTTATTTATTTATTTATTTTCATTCATTTATTTATTTATTTTTAGAAAATTCATTATTATTTAAGCCCAATATCTTACAATGCTAGATTTGATTATTTTTTTTCTGAGCGATAGAAATGTAAAATGTATAACCTTAACACCTTATCAGGGACATGAATGAGGTGAGAATAAGAACCCACAGCTATAGGGCCTCTGGGTTCGTAAGCTGGACATTGTACTCTGCCATGAGAGAGATCAGAGGTTTTTACTTAAGAAAAGCTGTTCTAAAAATATGAGGGTAAAGTGGCCAGTACAAGGCTTGCATCAGATCAAGTCAGTCAAAATTCCAGAATGTAGCAAAAAAAAAAGGGGGGGGGGAATCCAAGCCCTTACTTTAGAGGTATTGACAGTTAATGGCTTCTAGAGGCTGTTTTAAGAGCGCTGCTCCTGGCAGGTTGACCAGGCTCCAACAGATGGCGCCATACCCATGAGGACGTGGGCAGCACACATTTGACGTGTGTGTGTGTGTGTGTGTGTGTGTGTGTGTGTGTGTGTGTGTGTGTGAAGAAATGGTTCAGCAGTTAAGAGTACTGACTGTTCTTCCAGTAGATCTAGGTTCAATTTCCAGCACTCACCCGGAAGCTCACACCCTCTTCCTGCCTCCTCCAACACCAAGACATGCACATGGTACACAGATATACATGCAGCAAAACGCCCACGGATATATGGATAAATGAATGAACAAACAAATAAGAATTTTGAAAAGACAATGAGGAGAAGTCAGAGGGAGGTGTGGAATGAACTCGATCAAAATATATTGTAAGTACATATGAAAGAAATGTTCAAAGAATTGTTTTTAAGTATAGAGATGGTAAGGGTTTACAAACACATGGTTGTGAGTTGTTAAGTAAAAATAAGTAACACTTAGTAAGAGATTATATTTGAGCCTTTTCCAAAATTCATGTGGGCTGATACCTATTGGTTAGTTGGTCATCCAAGGTTTGGGCCTCATATTCTGGTAACGGTGTTTCTGTCTGATTCCCCATCATACACAACACAGAGGTTTGCATAAACATTTAGCTTGCCAAACTTCTTAGAGCTCTCTTTTATGCCTGAACAATTTTATATTTAATCATTTTATTGTAAAGAACTATTTTCTATGTGTTAGGTTTTATAATATTTGAAATTAAAAAAAAGGGGGGGGCTGGAGAGGCCAACTTGAAATCACTTGCAATTGTGGATGTTTCGGTACATTCGTTGTTCACCTTCCTGACTCACTGAGATTTTAACTCGCTTGTTATTTTTTGTATTTTTATAGAGCAATGATATATATACATACATATATATGTAATGATACTACTTCCTATGTTGATAAAAGGTATCATTGAAATACTTCACTAGTCTTTTTTTTTTTTTTAAATCTGTAGCATAATGCTTTGTGTTTGCCAAACTCATTTCTTTTTCCTCTGAACAGAGAGGAGCCACATTTGCCAACTTAAATGCTGACTAAGCTACGGCCATTTGGTTGGGTTTTAAAGAGTGCGGACTGAAGTATTGTTGCCACGTTCAGGCCCACTGTAAAGCTGCCTGCACACATTTTATGCTCTTTCTTTCTCCTCCACCACAGTTTGGGTGCCATGGGTTGAAGATAGCAGCATTAACACATGGAAAGAACTTAGCTGCCTGAATCACTCACTCCCTGGATACTCGACTCTGATGAGTCAAGTAATGATCTATGTTAAACCAACTAGATCTGGGGGAAAGGAGAGGTGGATCAAAATCACTCTACCTTGACAAACTAGTTTACTTGAACAAATCTACTTAGGCTGGGGCCTAGGAGAGAACCCGCTATTATTATTATTCTGCTAAATGGACATGTTATTAAATTGACTCCTTATCATTATAACCATACCCTTATCCATATGAGAAGATTTTATTTGCGGTAGATAGGGATTAACACAGTGACTCACAATTGGCCAAGGTGAGGAGGAAAAGAAACTGCAGAATTCTCAGTCCTAAATGGAAGATAGATGATAGATAGATAGATAGATAGATAGATAGATAGATAGATAGATAGATGATATACACATAGATAAACAGATTCAGATGATTAATTGATAGATGATAGATAGATACATAGATAGATGGAATACAGATAGACAGATGATTGATAGATCGACGATAGATAGATAGATAGATAGATAGATAGATAGATAGATAGATAGATAGATAGATACATACATACATACATACATACATACATACATCCATCATACTCCCTCTTCCCACAACTCAGCGTTCCCATGGCAGCAGCGAGGCGGAAAGAGTGTGAGAGATCAGTGGATGGCTACCATGGAGCAATGTGTTCTCGACCCAGCAGCGCAGCAGTTGCGATAGCACGCACAAAACCTGCGCAAACCAGACCAGATCCCAGCATCTGAAAATGGGAGTCAGGCAGGAAGTCCCACTCCTAACCAGGGAGCTACGAGCAGTTGTTAGCTTCCTGGAGAGAGACCGTTTTCTCTAAAACCATCCCCTGATAAGCTGACTGCACACTTGGGGAAGAACCCATATCAACACAAATTAGTCTTGATAGGTTAATAAGAAAGGACATAAAGTTGAGTGTTGTCGGTTAAACAAGAACAGTCCCCATAAGCTCATGTTTGAACAACTGATCCCCAGCTGATGGACCTGTTTGGGAAGGATTGGGAGTGGGGAGAATATCATCAAAGCAGGTTGTACGCAATACTTACTACAAAGAAATAATTTAAAAAATAAGATAAAATAAAAATCCAAGGGAAAGTGTTACTTCCAAAACATACCACTAGGGGGCATCCTAACCTAGTCTTTTTTAATTAGTCTCCTGTTTATTTAAACTTCTTTAGCACAATTCACGTTTATAACAATGTGTTTATTTACATGTGGTTTCACGGAAGCTGCTTGGAAGAACCCAAGATTGGCATAAGAACTGACATTCTTCAGTTTAAGCTGAACTAACAGATTCCATGCAGGGTCTGTCTATCTTACATGACTCAGTACTCATACTCAGATCACAATCTTCTAAGTTAGTCTACTGTTCCCTAAAATCTAGAGCTCTGGCAATATAACATATCTAGCTAAGATTCTGTGATTTGAGACAAACTCAGTCTTGAGAGGCTTCTCGTTTTTGAGATAAAATAAAAGGCAGAGACTACTTCAGTAGACACTGCAATCCCTCAGTGCATCGTAACAGTGGGCCTTGATATTTGCACATCCGTCAGTAAAGCACTGACGGGTTTACCAGCACCTCACCTGTCCAGCGTGTCGTCAGATCTGTACCGGCTAATTGTGGCTTTTGGCTCATCCCTCTCCCTTATTTTCCTGTAGAAAATAATTACCAAGAGATTAAAAATTACAAAAATATCTCTTAAAACGTCTCATAAATTTAACAAAAATGCTGACCTGTTTATCTAGGAAAGGCACATGTTCCTAAGGAAAGACAAAATTGTCATACACAAGCTTTCCAAATTTTTACCTGGATAAAATAAATTAGGGCAAACTCACCTCCTGCTGGTCCCTGAGGATTCTTTGCTGGTCCCAGGGATTTTTTTTCAAAGCTTACATGAAGCACTGAAGAGTGGCGTGCTCACACTGAAGCTCAGGCTATAGGAAAGTAATGCTACAGTGGCTAGAAACTCGTGTGTGCTCTTTCGGGGCTGCAGGTTTCTACACAGTCGGCACTATCTGATCCCCCGCGTGTGCTTTCTGTGAGCCCTGCAATGGGCGAACTCCTAAAATGCAGTATTTCACATCAGCACCATGGACAGGCACAACGGCCAAACACAAATAAAGACCGAGGAAGAAACAGAAAATCCAGAAAAAATGGAAGGAAGAGAGTGAGAGGCAAAGTGATAGACACGCAAAAGGGAGAAGAGTAATGATAGAAGCAGTCAGGGGAGGGACAAGAAAAAAACGGAAAAATAGAGAAACATAAAGAGAGGAGGCTCAACGCTAAGAAACATAACCAAGAAAAATGAAACCTGAAAATAGTTTTTACCCAAAGCGAAGAAACCCTACCTAATGGTTCTAGGAGCCCCATGACCTAGGGAGAGCAGGCTTTGTGGAAAATTATGGTGTGGCTTGCTATGTTTGCCTTTTCTGGTTTAATTTTTAAGCTCAGAGAAGTACATTCATTTTCACTGCAAATATTTGCAAGCAGGCAATATACAGCACAATTCACTAACTAAAAATGTATCTTGCTTTACCCACTTAGAGCTAGAGGGACAAATTACAAATGTATATCCAAAGACAAAAAGTGCTTGATGTGATAAAAGATGTTTGGGTGAAATTCAAGAAAGTTTAGAAAACCGATTTTTAAACATAAGAATCAGAGCTGACAAGGTGCAGCTTGACCTGGGCTCTGGAGGATAAACAGACAAGAGCATTTACAAACAGTGCCGTGAAGGCAAGAGAGAAGGGAAGGAATCTTCCCCACTACGTTTCTCAAGTTTTAAAGAAAACTTCCAAGCGAGGTCAGAAAGTTATGCTGTGGTTCCATTTTAGTGGGGCATCTTCTCACGACTTCCATGAAGACACCCCCTCGCCACCCCTGAGAGTGGTTTGTAACAGAATAGCAGAGTGCTGTCTACTATGTGAAAAGTTCTGGATTCTACTCTCAACACCTCAAGACAAACAACCAAATACACAAAGCAAAACATAAACAATTTTACAAAAACAGCAACAAAACCCAGCCCATCCACAAACACCATCACTGTTGGTTGGCTTTGTTCTTCTCATAGCACACAGTAATGCTTCCTAAAGTCCTGCCACTTATGGAAAGCAAACTTTGTGGGGAATTATAGCAGTATTTGTTATTACTTATTTTCATTCTCTCTTCTCCCAGACCTTCATCTGGAATGCAGACTCAATGGAAGCTGGGAATGTTTTGGATCCAGTTCTAAGCTCAGTGTCTGGCTCCCAGGACATGCCATAGATGACATTAACTTGATTTGACATGATTAAATGATCCATCTGAGGAGTCACACGGTAAGATTGTCTAGTTTCAGATGATAGGACACCGTAATCTGAGATGACGAGAGCCTGTTAATTCTGCCAGCTCTCTGCACGCATTGTCTTCTCTGTCGGAGACCCTTCTCCCGTGCTCTCCAGCAGCCTCGCTTAAAAACTTCCTCCTCACTTTTCAGGCACTGGCATCCACCAAAGACCACTTTCTTATTGGGGGTTAGGATTAAATGGACCAAAGTAATCTCCCCTTTTTCCCTATTTCCAGAACACTGTGACACATCTGTAGCATAGCTATTCCTTGTGGTAAACTACAGTATTATAGCTCATGGACTTCTCCATTGGTGTGAAGAGCGCCTTACTGTCCAAGATTGTCCCATACATCTCTGTGCTCCCAGAACCCAACAGATGTTCCAAAGTGGCTTCATGACCACCACGGGAAAGCCCCTGGGGCTGGGTAGAGAAGTGACAAGTAGGATCATTTGAGCCAGTACCAAGAGAATCTGCCGTACTTCTTGAGGAGACTTATCTGTGATATTAGTTGTGGGTCATTCTGGTCCACAGATTCTTATTACTAGTGATAAAATAAGTGAACTGCTTTAGCCAAAACGCTGGCCACCAAAAGGAAGAGTTCAGGAAACCGATGTTTAACATGTAAAATTAGCGTAGATGGCATCAGGGTCCTGTTATATTAAGGAGCCCTGTGGGCACACTGAGAAGACAGGGCTTAGTTTTCACTGTCACAGTTTAAAAATGGGAGTGTGTGTCCTCTAGTGTTTTAGAGGAAGGTTATTAAGTGCATGGAACAATTTTCATCAATTGTCAGACTCAAGCAATCATTGTCTCTTTGCTTGGTGAGATGAGGGCACACTGTAAACCAGGTCCCCAATCTCCAAAACAACGAAGAGTCAGGCAGAGGCACAGGCAGTGAGTTCCTCAACCACAGAACAGCAAATTGAACTACAAGCCACTGCACCAGATGAAACGTGACCGAGATAAATGCCTAGGTTCTTCTGACAGGTGTGGCTGTTCCTCAGCATGTGAGGACAAGCATGAACCCATGATAACATTATCTGTTTGGTCAATCTGAGATTTCTCCCGTCATTGAGATTCCTCCTTTCATCTGAAGTTTCCTATCCATTTGTACTCCTCACTCTGTTCAGTCCCACAGACAGGCCAGCATTTGCCACAAGCCCACAGCTTTCGTAGAAGAGATGTGTTGTCCTATATAGCAGGTGACTTCCGCAGTAACATCTGTATTCCAGTCTTCCTTTCTCTAAGTATCAAAGGTGTATTCTCTGGCCACGTCCCTATGAGAGATCTTTTTCTCCCTGTCAGTGGAGTGAGGTGAGATGATTTATGAGCCTCCTTCAGGCCATAGTTCTGGGAGCTGACACAGAATAAACCCCTTATGATGTTCTAGATTCTCCTTTGCATTCACACATGTTGAAGAAAGCCCAAGGCTAGCTACAAATACACATCTGGCTTGAACAAGTCTTCTTTCCAAACCTCCATTTTTATGTTTTAAATGATGTCATTGTAGATGCTCACCTGTCCAAGGCATCATGGGAGTTATGCCGGCTGAGCACCACCCTGCCATAATTTTCATCCCTGCAAAGAAAGAGCAAACTTAAGTTCCGTCAAAAGTTACCAAAATGTTTGCTGAGCACTAAATAACAGAGACAGGGAGAGAGTTTACAACTCTGGGCAAGGTTAATTTGTTTTACTCTATGCCTAAGAGCATGACCATAAATCTAAATTAACTAGTCAGAACTTGCAGGAGTAGAGTGGAGTAAAACAAGTTTGACAGCCCAAGTCTGTTTGTCCCATGAGATTTCCACATGATTTAACAATGAGTCAGTGCTTTGTTTATTGTGATTTTTTTTTTAACCAGAGTATGGGAACATAAGACCATTAACTTTGTATGTCTTAGTTCTTTCCAACAAGAAGAAAAGAGGGAGGTTTTCTACAAACATTCTTCAGATTTAATTAAGCCTGCTGTGTCGGCACATTTTGATGGATTTGACCATTTGCCTTGGCTAAATATAGGGAAACAAATACTAATGTTTCAAATGAGGGAGATTAATCACTCATAAAAGATCAAGCCCTTTTTCTGAAGCATTAGGATGCATGTGCCTTAAAAAATACCTGTTGAATTGGGCAGGGAAAATATTGTTTATGCCAGTCAACAGATAAGGTCATTCATCACAGACTTTGTGGCTCTCCCAAAACCATGGGATTAGCAAGTGACAGAGATTGCTGAGGACCCAAGCCTTTGTCTCCTGTCCTCTGCTCTCTTTACCAGTCAACCCTGTGATAACTTGCCAAAGCCATGTCAGTCTTACTTTGGGGAGTGGGCATGAAAGCGAAGGAACCATTTAGGAAGCGTCCTTGAAACCCAGCAGAGGGTGCATACCTGAACTTCTCCCTGCCAATCCCCAAACCACATTTTCTCTGGTTAGGCTCCACTAAATTACTCAACATTTTGGAACTATGTTTAATAAAGCTATAAAAGAAACTATGGCAGATAATTAAAAAAAAGAAAGATGGGCGGAGACACTGAAACAATCCAGCAAACCTACAAATTCAGAGGGCCACCAAGAGAACGTTTCCATCCCCCCCACCATATCATTCTTTAAAACTTAAGAGGGCACAGCTGGCACCAGGCACCAGGCACGCTCTTACCTGAAAACAAATGGTAATGCACAGCCTGGAACTGGGCCAGTGGGAGCTGGAAAAGCACCTGAGCCAAGTTCTCTTTCACCAAGCAGCTGCCATGCCATCCAAGCCGGCTTCCCTAGGCCTGCTTAGGGAGGCTTGCTTGGCATAGGACCCACATTCCTGTCAACCGTGACTTATCATAGGCATTTCTACCCTTTACCCATCTGGATAAAGACTTGGAAGCCAAATTTTATTGTCTACAGTTGTAAAGGAAAAGAAGAGCTTTTTTTTTTTTTTTAAGTGAGGATTTGTGGGAGGGAGAGTCCAATAGAGCCCAATCTAACGGAGACCAAGTCTCTGCACATCCCCATAAGTCCTTAAATAAACAAGTCACAATAACAGAAGTTAACAGATACTTTTACCGGTGATGAGTGCGTTCCTCAAATAAGCATGCCGGGGTAGTACGTGGAAGTTTAGAATCAGTATCCCAAGATGCAGTTCCTCAGCATAGGACTGTTAACCGTGTGTGTGTGTGTGTGTGTGTGTGTGTGTGTGTGTGTGTGTGTGTGTGTGAAAGTTCTCTGCTTCTCTGCTGTGAGGTCTCTCCTGCATACTTCAGGATATTTATCAGTACTTTGGACCTCTACTCACTAAGCATTGGGTGTTATTCCCTGATTTCATGACCAAAAATATCTCCCAACATTGTCAAATATCCTCTGGGTAAATTGCCTGTAGTTAAAATTAAAAAAACTGGTATAATGGAAAGACGATAGATCATGTTAAAATATCAGTTCAACCACATAATAGCTGTATGCCATTTGAACAAATTATATAGCTTCTCAGAGCTGTATATTTCTCTCCTGTAAAATGAGATTATAATACTTACCTTATATGTTTATAAGAATTAGTGATACTTCATCAACCAGATACCCAACATCAAATTTAACACATAAAGAAATTAGAAAATGAATCCATAAGTATGCATTATTTATAATACATAACTGATTGATAACAAAGATGGAACCAGGCTAGATGAATATCATAAAACTATGTTGTGAATAGGTTGGAGGCCTATGGTCATAGTTTTAGTTCTTTGACTGTGCAGCTAGCAGAAGCAATGCTCAAAGCCAGTGAAACTTTGCCTAGCAGTTAAGTTTTTCCCCTTAAATAAGGTCACAATCTTCCAGCTACCTAGAAGTAGATGGTCAAACTGGACTAAAATGGTTGGGAGTTTATGGATTTTTCTCATGCATCTAGACATTTTAATTATTATTAAATTTAATTATTTGTAAACTTGGGAAATTCCTGGCATGAACAATATATCACAGAGGGGATTAACGGCTGTCTTTTGGGAAACTGAGATACCCTGCTTTCTTTTCAGCTTACAAAGGAAGCAGAACACCTGGCTTAGTTGACAGTCATAGTCTGCCCTGTAACAGCTCAATTCTTTTGCATATAAATGTTTGTTTCTAAAAGTGCAGTCGGGACACAAAGTGAATAAATTGTAGTAAATAATGATAATAATAATAATAAAGAAAAAAGAATGTGGTACAACTGAGTTGTGCTTACAAAAATTAGGCTATGTAGCCATGAGCTTTAGCAGGAAAGGCCTGCTTTTTAGGTGGCCAGATCTTCCAAACAGCCACCTTTCGTCCATCTATCCATCCATCCTCCCCACCTCACACTTACTTTTCTTCCTCAGGGCGTTTCTTTATCCAGCTGTTATCCTGTAAGAACACCCTTCTCTTGTTCACGTCATGAAAACCCTGTTGTCTCAGTGCAGCCCCCTGAGCGCTCTTCATATCTATCAAGAGAAACACAAGGAGCTGTAGGGGAGTGAAGCCAAGGATGGGGCGTTAACCAGGTCTTCAGAGACGCATCTTGTTGGCCTCATCTGCACTGGCAAGTCTAGTAGCATTTAGAAGCAGGGTGCTCCAGCAAGAAAGAACAAATCCCACACCCCATCACCAAAGATAACAAATAAAACTGCTCAGGTGCCAACTGAAACTGCCGGTACAGCTCAGGAGGCCCCGTCTGAGGGTGAGAGAATGCAGGATCATCAAGCTGAGACTAAACCCAGCTGGGCTTAGGGGCCACTATGCTGGCCTCTAAGACATAAGAATATGTCTTTGAAACACAGATTAAATTCGGGTACATTTGATTACACGTGACTTAATTCATGGATCTCACAGGTACCAGGGCACAGATTGTCCTCAAAAAAAAAAAAAAAAGACATTTATATTGATTTATTTTTTTAATTACAATGACATAAGTGGAACCTATAGCATTTGAAAATTTTTATTTCAGCATTTTAAAGAATTTCACACATGAGAACTACATCTAATCACATCCCGATCCTTCATTCTTACTTTTTTTTTTTGTTAAAAAAAGATTCCTATCTTAAGCAAAGCTACTATAATAAGGCCATTGTTTCCAAACAACAGATACCTATAGTAAAAACTTATGATCTATGAGTTGTTTTTCTTATATTTTAAAGAATTGGGTTTGTTTGTTTTTGTTTTTGTTTTTGTTTTGTAATTTGAGTAAACATTTTCTACATTACCATTTCCAGAAGGAGACTTTTTCCTTGAGGAAAAATTTGACATGCTGAATTCTAATGAGGATCTGAAAAAAAAAAAGGAGATGAGAGAAATATAGTGATGATATTAAGAACCTTCAAGGAACAATTTAATTACTAACATAAATTTTTCAAGGCTAGTGACAAAGCCTACAAGTATAACAAATGTTACATAAGGTGCTGTCTAAGAATCTGAGGCGTATCTGTTCCAAGGAATGTATTTTATTTGTTTTATATATGGAAAAAAATGAGGTCCAGCACATTTAATATCCCTAGGGCTATATAATAAACAACTAATTAAATTCAGTTTTCAACTGATTCATTTATTCAGCCAATAAATGTGCACTGAGAACCTGCATTGTGTCTGGCCCTGAGCTAGCAGAGGCAGCACAATGAGTCAGACAAGTGTTTGGTCATGGTGAATGGACAGAAAGGGACACTGTGACTCAAGTCACAGGGAAGGGAGCTTTAAGATGGGCTTACCGACTCCTTCTGGGAAGTCAAAGTAATAAACCCAGGCAAACTAATGTGTCGTGAGACAGAAAGCAACAAGATGGCCAGAAACACCAGATCTGGGAAACACTGGCGATTTCACACAGCCATCCCATGGGAAAGCTCCAAGGCCTTAGCCATGACCAGCCTCGACTATTACAGTATGGAAGGGTTAATGTGATGCCATCCCCTGTTCTTCTAGGGCTGATGCTGTTCCCCAGAAGAGGGTTATGCATCTGCGGTACTTATAGCTACTCATAGCCCCTTCTTACATACGCATGTGCATTAAAAATTATATTGGATGGGGGTCAACATAATAGCTCCGCAGGTAAAGGCAATTGCCATCAAGCCTGATGACTCAATCTACATAATCTACAGTCAAAATGGGTAGAAAGAGAGAACTTTCTCCCACAAGTTGTCTTCTGGCCTCCACACAGGGACACTTGCATTCACAGACACAAGTAAGAAAGAAAGAAAGAAATGAAAACGTATCCTTAATAGTCATTAAGGCTATGGCGGCACGAACACAGTTAGGAGTGTTTGTGTTCATCACTTACGCTTGCATCTTTCTCCTGTTGTTTAAAGAAGTCAAAATGAGAACACTTTGATGAGTCTTAGAAGCACTGCAAACCCTAGGCACTGTGCCTAGTTGGTCCTAGCTTACCTTGAGAGAAGGATTTACAGCTCTAAAACCAGAAAAGTCCCAGGTAAATGTGGACAACTAGTCATTCCAGGTGGGTAATTGTGTCTTCTGTGGAATCCATCCCACCAGATGACATACTGAGCTTGAAGGACCATTCAGTCTTAACTAAGAAGTAAATTCTAGGTCCAAGTTCTCACATTCAAGTTCTGCAGTCATATCCCTTAGCTTACCCCCTCAAACAGCGTTAACAAAACTTGTCACCTACTTCAAAAGATTACTGTGCTGATACTGATCAAATGAATAATGCCCACAAAAAATACCTTGTTGAACCTTAAATGCTGCTTAGCAGCACATTATCAGCTATAGCCTAACTTAGAGATTCTGAAAGTCCCATACCTCTGTCAGTATTGTCATGAAAATACTTCCATTGGTATTGTCATAGCCATAAGGACACACCCACGTAACCTGGAAATGACGGACTCAAGACCAAAATGCCAGTCATCTCAAAGCAGAGGTGATTCTGTGAGGAGAGTGTGTACATTGGAGTTTACTATGAGATCTGGCTGAAGCTCTGTTGGCACAGGATATGTCCTTGCTCATCTTCTTCTGCCTCCCCATCCTTCACTTCCTGCTCCTGAGACTACACCTACAATAGGTCACAGACACCCAACTTTCCCCTCATGCACTGAATCTAGGGAGACAGGTGCAAGACAAAGAGTAACAGCAACAATCATGGCCACTGCGAGTCTAAGTTTGGAGTCACTGTGGGTGGTTTATTAGCTCAGGTCCCTCGTGTACAAATGAAGCAAAGTCAAGTTGCGAGAATCACATGAGAACACATGTGGAGTGTCGAATCCAGTACTCCATAATTCTTAACTTCATATCTTTATTTTATCACTTTGAAAGACAGAGCAAAACAAGAAAGGGAGGCGGGATAGGGAAGGGTTGGAAGAGATGTGAACACAGGCAAAGGAATATCCAGTGAGTGTGGAATGGCCCCTTGCTGGCTGCCTTTGGAGGTTAACAAGCTTTGGTAGGAAAATGGAGTAAAGAGAACCTGCAAACCAAGCAGAGGCTTATTGAGATGGCTCAGTGGGTGAAGGTGTTTACCCCTCTCCTGATGATCTAAGCCCATCCCTCAGGATCTACATGGCTGAAGAAGAGAACAAGAGGCTTGTCCTCCAACTTCCACATGCAGGCTATGACGTTTATAACGAGGATGAATTCACACGTGCATGTATGCATACACACACACATACACACAAACAAATAAATAAGACACCTGTATCTAAATTATTCATTAATTTTGCCTCAATTTGGCCTTACCTTTAGGGACTTCTAGCTTACTATTTACTGTTTCTAAATGGAATCTGATGATTTTTCTTTTTCCTTTTAGCTGACAAAAACGACAGGGACTATGATTCTGAAGTTGTTGACACATTGAATGTATATTTAATAATACATTTGCAAAAACTGCAAGTTCAATTGTGAGTCCGGAAACAGGGTAGCTGGAGAAAAGACATTGTATAACTATCTGTTGATTAGCTTTCTCTTCTAAGAAGCTGAGCGTCAGGGAACAGGGCATAAGCTTCCTCTTTTGTTCTCAGTATAGGATAATGCCAATGCTGCCCAGCTATTTCCTAGACTGTGTCCTGGCCCCCAAATTCACATGTTGAACTTAAAGTACATCATCAGACTATCCCACTATTTGGAGATAGTGACTTGCAAGAGGGGGGATTAAATGAGGCCTTTGGAACAGGAGGGCTTTCACATGTAAGCCAAGGAAGAAAAACTCAACTGAACCTGAACACACTGACACCCTGACCCTGGACACTCAGCCTCTAGATTGCCAGAAGATACATTTCACTGTCTAGCTCACCACGTCTCCATGTGGTGTCTTGTTCTGGCACCCCTGGACAATCAACCAGTGCTTCTGAATGAAATGATCAAGCCTTTCCAAAGAAGCAAAGTCATCGAAAGAGCTGTGTGCCACACTGCCCGTGATCTGTGCCCTTAATTTATTCAGCTGTCATAGCCCACAGATCAATTAGCAATGTATAAAAATGTGTCAGTTGATCCCCTCGTTTGAGAGCATGTATGTCGTGGGCATTATCTCTCACCACCAAAGGAATGAACTTTGTCAGGTGGCTATTATTATCACCAACACTCGGGTAAATCACGTGAAGTTCAGGGACAGTTTAACTTGTCCAAGGTGCTAAGCAGCAGAGGCAGACGTCTCCAACAAAGCCATCACTTTTCTGAGCACGCAGCCATCCTGCTCATCATGAGTCACTGAGAGACTAGACGGGTACCCGGGAGATAAAGTGACAGAGGAGTGGTGCTTGGTGGGGGCCTGCCCGATCCATGACATCTTGCAAGTCCAATAAGTTTTTCTCACAATACCTTAGGGCAACCAAGGCAGCCTTTGAGGGAATCACTGCAGCAGAGTAACCTTCACAGAAGAGCCTCCTTTGTGTATTCTTGAATATCATCTTGATAATAACAAACCTACACATGAATAGTCATAGCAACATTGTGTGCTGTTACTTTTTGTTTGTTTGGTTGGTGGGTTTTTTGTTTGTTTTCTCTTTTTTATTAAATTTTTATTTTTTTATATTAATTACAGTTTATTTGCTTTGTATCCCAGCTGTAGTCCCCTCCCACATTCCCTCCCAATGCTTATCTCCTCCCATGCCCCTCACCAAGTCCACTGATAAGGTAGGTCCTCCTCCCCTTCCATCTGACCCTAGCCTATCAAATCTCATCGGGACTGGTTGCATTGTCCTCCTCTGTGGCCTGGTAAGGCTGCCCCCACCTTCAGGGAGAGGTGATCAAAAAGCTTGCCACTGAGTTCATGTCAGAGACAGTCCCTGTTCCCCTTACTAGGGAACCCACTTAGATACTGAGCTGCCATGGGCTCCATCTGAGCAGGAGTTCTAGGTTATCTCCATACATGGTCCTTGTTTAGAGTATCAGTCTCAGAAAAACCCCTGTGCCCAGATATTTTGATTCTGTTGCTCTTCTTCTGGAGCTCCTGTCCTCTCCAGGTCTTAATATTTCCCCCTTGTTTCATAAGATTCTCTGCACTCTGCCCAAAGTTTGGTTATGAGTCTCAGCATCTGCTTTGATACACTGCTGGGTAGAGTCATTCAAAGGCCTTCTGTGGTAGGCTCCTATCCTGTTTCCTGTTTTCTCCTTCTTCCAGTGTTCATCCGTTTGTCTTTCTGAGTGAGGATTGATCATCTTACCCAGGGTCCTCCTTCTTGCTTAGCTTCTTTATGTGTACAGATTTTAGTATGTTTATCCTATATTATATGTCTAATATCCATTTACAAATGAGTATATACCCTGTGTGTCTTTCCGCTTCTGGGATACTTTACTAAGGATGATCTTTTCTAGTTCCCACCATTTGCCTGCAAATTTCATGATTTCCTTGTTTTTAATTGCATTGCTGAGTAGTATTCCATTGTGTAAATGTACCACAATTTCTGTATCCATTCCTCCATTGAGGGACATCAGTGTTGTTTCTAGGTTAACTTTTAAGTATTTTATTTACATTTCTTATGTCTCTTTCTCCCTTCTCTGCTCCAATCCCTCCCAACACCGGGTAGGAGAGAAAGGAAGTTAGGGGAAATCAAAACAAAAAGCATGTTTACATATCATAACCCAAAACTTCTACAACAATTTGCAATAGTGAAAAACAATGGAACTAATCCAAAAACGCCCCGAACAATAAATGGTTGTGTAGTTTGACATATCCAAACAACGTATCGCTCAGGAATACAAGGGACTGAAGAAGCGGTTTCCACTAGAGAATGGATGAAACAGGAAACACGCTAAATGCAAGGACCCAGACACTGAAGATGTGTTACTCTACCTCTATGAAATGTGAACAAGAGTCAGGCTCTTAGA